AAATTTGTGTGTCATCCGCATAGCTATGGTAACTTATTTTGTTGTTTTTCATTATCCGAGCCAGTGGTAGCATGTAGATGTTAAAGAGAAGAGGCCCCAAGATGGAGCCTTGAGGAACCCCACATGTCATATTTGTCAACTCAGATTTGTATTTACCTATAGAAACAAAGTTGTTTCTGTCCTTTAAGTAGGATTCAAACCAATTTAGAACTGTTTCCGAAAGTCCCACCCAGTTTTCTAGTCGGTCTAGTAATATGTTGTGGTCAACAGTGTCAAACGCAGCACTGAGATCTAATAATACTAACACTGAAGTTCTGCCACTGTCTGTGTTTAAGTGGATGTCATTGAAGACCTTTACAAGAGCAGTCTCAGTGCTGTGGTTTGGACGAAAGCCTGACTGGAACACATCTAAACAGTTATTTAAATGCAAGAAATTACTCAACTGTTGAAAGACTACTTTTTCAATGATTTTACCTAGAAATGGGAGGTTTGATATGGGCCTGTAATTGTTCATTACTGAAGCGTCTAGATTATGCTTTTTTAAGAGCGGTTTAATGACTGCAGTTTTCAGGGCCTGTGGAAAAACACCTGAGTGAAGAGACTTGTTTACTATATGAAGTAGATCTGAGGCCATGCAAGGAAAAACATTTTTGAAAAACCCTGTTGGAATAATATCAAGGCAGCAAGAGGAGGATTTCAGAAGTTGTATAATGTCCTCTAGGTTTTTATCATTAATCTGATGGAATTGTGTCATGGTGTTTGAATTGATATTAGGTGGACACAGAGACAAAACATTTGCCCGGCCTGATGCAGAGGCACTGACTGCTTGTCTGATTTTCTGAATTTTGTCAGTGAAGAAGGAGGCAAATTCATTGCACGCCCTGGTGAATAGAAATTCAGAGGCTACTGACACTGGGGGGTTAGTTAGTCTGTCGACGGTAGAGAACAAGGCACGTGCGTTGTTTTTGTTTTTGGCAATGATATCAGAGAAGAAAGACTGTCGGGCAAATTTCAATTCCAAATTATAAAGGCCAAGTCTCTCTTTATAGATTTCAAAGTGCACCTGGAGATTTGTTTTTCGCCACCTGCGTTCAGCTTTTCGACACTCTTTTTTCTCTGCTCTCACGGTCATGGCCTTTCTCCATGGAGATATTTTCTTCCCAGTCACTTCCTTTACCCTAGTTGGAGCAATGGCATCTATAACATTTTACATTTTTGAATTAAAATGATCTACGAGCTCATTCATTGAGATGTTAGCAGGGGCAAGTGTGGAAGAAAAATTCTGAGTAAACATTTCCCTAGTGTTTTCAGTTAAATATCGCTTTGTGGTTACCTCTTTTTGAACATTTTTGCGAACAGAAATAGATCTCTCAAAGAAAACACAGGAATGATCAGAGAGTGCAACATCAGTCACCACAACCTCAGAGATATTCAGACCTTTTGAGATAATTAAGTCCAGAGTGTGCCCCTTATTGTGCGTGGGCTCCGTCACATGCTGAGTCAGTCCATAGTTATTAAGAACACAAAACAGTTCTTTAGCCCCTCTGTCCTGGGGGTTGTCAACATGGATGTTAAAATCACCAACAATGACTAGACGGTCAAAGTCAATACACACTATAGACAGCAGTTCAGTAAATTCATCAAAAAAGCTTGCACAGTATTTGGGTGGTCTATAGATATTTAGGAACAGAGCTCGAGAGGAGCATTTCAGCTGAAGGGCCACATATTCAAAAGAAGCAAAGTTCCCATAAGATGTCTTCCTGCATTGAAGGGAATCATTGAACAAAATAGCAACTCCACCTCCTCTCTTATGCATTCTTTCCTGACTCATAAAACTAAAGTTGGGAGGGGTTGATTCGATAAGAACAGCTGCACTGTTATTTTGTTCAATCCATGTTTCCGTTAAAAACATAAAATCGAGATTGTGCTCAGTGATAAAATCATTGATTAAAAATGTTTTACCTGCCAAAGACCTGACATTTAATAAAGCTAGTTTAAGTTTGTTGAACACACTATCAGTCAGGTGTTTTGTAACAAGCTGTGGCTGATAGGGGTGTAACGGTTCACAGAAGTCACGGTTCGGTTCGTACCTCGGTTTGGAGGTCACGGTTCGGTACGGTTCGGTACAACAAGAAAAAGCAAAAAAAAGTCCCAAATGCATAATTCCAGGTTTGTTGTTATTTATGTTTGAACAGTAGTACAAGTTTCAGTTTAAAAATAAAGAACTCTGACATTTTGAATTAACTAACTGTGTTAAACAATTAAAAACAAACCATACACAGTACACTAAGATGGCCATATTATCTATAATGGCTGATGTCAAACAAAAAGGTTTCATCAAGCTGTAAAACTAAAAAGAATGTCTTGAAAATATGACATCATAAATAATAAGAAAGTGTTTCAAGAGCGCATAGTCGTTGAAAAACATATGCCAAAGGCTTCCGTTATTTATTTTGGTCTCACGGCTCTCTTGGCTTCTTAAAAACAGCGGGGATCAGCTGCTGAACTGCTGTTGTCTTTTGCCGGGCTCCGGTGATTGGCAAATCTGGGTGATGCCTTCTGATATGAGTTAGCATGTTTGGCATGTGTTCCCATTAGCATACCGCACCGCTGTAGAACAACGGCGACACACCGTCCTCGTCCGATCCACCACTCGTCCGATCCACCACTCGCACACTTAATCGTTATTGTAGTCCACAGGGAACCCGAAATGTTCCACCCAGCTGATTTAAAAGAAGAAGGTGGGTTCTAGCTCCTGTGTGTCCTTATCTGAAATCGCCATACTAACTTTTCTTCTTCTTGTATTTTGTTCGTTTTGTTGTTGTGTTTCTTCTGGGCGGCTGTCAACAGCTTTTAGGCGCAATACCGTCCCCTGGATTATATATAGTGTAGTGGATACTGCCCTGAATGACAGACTTTTTTCCCACTCGTAAAAAAAAGGCGTATTCGTCGTGTGACTGCGTGTGCCGAACCGTGACGTCTGAACCGTGACGGTACGGGACGAATACGGATACCGTTACACCCCTAGTGGCTGACATGGAATCACTTCTAAATTTGATAAACTCACACAAACTTTTGAGCGCTTCCGGTGTCTAAGCTGATTCACCACTCTTAATCTATTACCTATCAACACAGATATCGGCAAAGCTACAGGCAGGCAGGGCCCTGGCATGTCCTGGAAAGAGTTCGAGAGTGCCATACGCCCTTGAGCCTGGACCCAGCATATATCAGTCAGTGTTTGCGTTTTTTACACACACATCCTTATCAGGCTTCGGAGACAGCAGTCTTGAAGGGGGGGAGGACGTTTTGGTCCGAATGATTGTGGTAGGCATGGTGACGGGGGTGTTGGTGCACGTCCAGGGGGAGGAGGTGGTTGACGTAGGCACGGTGACGGAGACGAGGGAGGTGGTGCGCGTCTCTGCTTCGGTGATTTTGATGGGCGTCGTTGAGGTGCGGGGGTAAAGGACATGCTGCCAGCCCTGCGTAGCGCCTTAGTTTGGTTATTGAACTCCAGGAAGGAATCGGTGCCAACCCTCTGTATCTCCTTCATGTGTTCAGCGATCTCCAGGAGGGTGGGCGAGGGTGAAAGGGTGAACACAGAGTAGAGAGAGCTGTGGGGTGAAGGAAGAGTATCCTCAGAGGTGAACAGATCGATGTCTGACCAGACATAAACAGATAGAACAAGTGATGGAAATTGAAGCCGGAGGAAAGAAAGTTGATTTAACCCTCCTGTTGTCTTCGGGTCAAATCTGACCGATTTACTACTTTCATCAATCATAACTTTTTTGTCTTAGATTAGATTGCATTAAGGCTTTATGGTATCCGTAGACAGTAGACATTTGAACTTGTAAAATTGCTGATCACCACTGTCATTGAATTTTGATTTTAGTCAACTTTGTACCACCCATGATGATCCCGGTAAAAAATTACCACCATAAAGAAATGGAATTAGTAACCATCCGGATCAGATAAAACACACCCACACACATACTCTAGATGTGTGTGTGTGTCCCCCCCCCCCTTATGTGCCCAATGCCCCCCATTTGAATCACACCTGGCACACAATAACACACACACAGAACAATTTGACACATTTCCCACTCTTATGTGCCCATCCCCCCACATGGATCACACCTGGCACACGCAATACATGTTCAGTGTCTATTCTTAGTATATTTACTGCAGTTTGTCATGTATACCAGTAGTCTGATACAATATGTACAGTTTGAAAGGGTGTTAAATGAAATTTGGTGCTGGTTAATGGTTTTTGTGTTAATATAATAGCAGTTAAAACAGGACCGGTCAAATTTTACCGAGAACACCAAAGTAAGGGGGGGAAACGAAGACAATAGGAGGGTTAAGTGGACAAAGTCATCAATATATAAGAAGGCACGTTTTGTTTTGACGTAAAAACGTCAAACACGTAGCTAGCGTTAGCGTGTTTGATAAAAGAGCTTGCAAGAGACAGCATTTTGCACCTAAATGTAACTTGACATAATATATATATAGTATAGAAGGTGCAGAGAGGAGAACTCAAAGTGAAGAGAAGTGAAAAGGAGGGAAGAGCATATAGCACTATAGCTAAACACCACTTATATAATAATAATACTACATTTGATTTGTGCTTTTTCAGGTGCTCAATGACACTTTACAGTGGTGATAAAAAGGAAATAAAATAAAATGTTGAATTAAAATATTAAAACAGCAACACAACATTATTCACACATTAAAAGCCAGTCTGAAGAGGTTTGTTTTGGTCAGTGTTTTGAAGGTGAGGGGGTCGGTGCAGTCTCTGATGTTTAATGGAAGTGAGTTCCAGAGGGAGGGGGCAGCGATGGAGAAAGCTCTGTCCCCCCAGGTTCGGTGCTTGGTTTGTGTGGGGAAAGACAGGAGGTTGGCTTCTGAGTTAATTAAAAGACCCTTCTTTAATACTATTATAATATTTAGGTAGCCACTCTTTTTGACTTAACCTAGCTGTCCTACATTTTATTTCTCCATAGATGTACTGTCCATTCTGTGGGTCCAGCGTGACAGCTCCCCATGGCTTTTGTGGTGTCTGTGGCGGAGACATCACATTTCTAAAAGATGTGGCTAACAAAGTCCCTGAGGAGATGCCCACCACTAGTGCACATCTAAGTGTACAGCCTAGCACCAGTGCAGGTAAATAGGTTTTATTACCGAAAACTTGGTTTAAAAGTTTGAATTCTGTTATTATACAAATACATCTCTAAACTATGTGGCTTACCTACTGTTGAATCCACAGAAGGGATTGAGGATGAGACTCCTATTGCACATAATGAGTAATTCATGTTTTATTCCTGTAGTGTCCTTATATGGGGAAAAGAAACAGAAAATAGTGAAGGTATGCAACGTTTTCTATTATGAATACATCTGTAATTCACATCTGGTCACCACACTCTCATATAATGTCCGAAGACTTTAGCTTATTCATTTTTTAAATGTTTTATTAATTTGCATGTTATTGTCTTTTGCAGATTTCTGTTGGAGTAATGAGGATGATGGATGGCTGCCTTAGACCTGTGAGAGGGACGTTACTTCCTCTTGATGTTGAACCTCAATGGTCATGTCAAGAACTGTTGGCTGCTGCCATAAAAAAGCAGAAAGCTTTTAAACAGGTCGTGGAAGATGGTGCCCATGTTTTGTTGTACCCTGATGCGAGTGAGATTACAAATATACCCGGAACGGACATCCCTTTCACAGTGGAGATGTACAAAAAGACCAGTGGAAAGCCCTACCAACGAATTAAGTTGTACATCTGTACTGTTGAAGACTTTGAAAACAATTGTAAGTGCTTCTGACATATATTCCCCCTTGTTTAAAGCACTAAACTGTATACAAATTCAAATGTAAACATAACAGTTGTTCTGTCTATATTTCTTAACACAATTCATTCCACCCATCATTGCTTTCTCTTCGTGGTTGAACTTAAATTTCACAAAAATGTTGTGTTTTGATTTAATCCTTTCTGATTGATGTCAATGCAATAATTCACGATTCAAACCAACATTTGATGATAGGTACAGACGGAGCAGAACAATTATTTTTATAGTATTGATCATGACACTTTTAATTTCTTAGGTTACACTGGAACAACTTCAAGTGAAGAGGACGGTGTGGTCCGTGTACATTTGCCGTTCCAAATGTTCCGATAGAGAGCACTCCAAGAATGGACAACAGTTTGCCAGGGTAAAATAAAACGTTGTCAACATATTATTTTGTGCCACAAGAAGCATAATGTTTTAACAGTAGTTTGAATATATTTTGTGTTTACCTTTATCAGACCTCTCAGGCACCCTAAACCAGCGTCTGATATCAATCTTGATATTTAAAAAATAAATAAATAAATAAAACGCAATACTACTTTTTCTTCACAGAAAAACGAACAGGACTCCTCAGAGACATCCTGATGTTCTCAACAGGATTAAACACCCTGCCACGGTCTGGAATTCAGCTGAGACCCCAATTGAGTTTTCAGCGGACATCTCGCTTTCCAATCGGCAGAACCTGCTCAAACACAATTGAAATACCGATGTCAAGCACCTACGAACACTTTGAAAGCAACATGGACTTTGGAATCCAAAATTCGCCTGGTTTTGGACTTTATTGAAAGCTGGACTTACAATTTACAAATTAGCCATGTTCTTCATGTTTATATGGTTCGCAACACAGGACTCCCAGGTCAAGGGTTGCATTAGACCACTCGTTCTTTGAAGGTTCTCAAATTGTTCCTGGAAGTGGTCGTCTCCACATGGACTGTTGGTCGAGTCCAGAACAAACTGGCCCAAGTCGTCTTGTGGGACTGGGAACCCACGGTCAGTTCCACCGTACCTGGATGTGAAATATGCACACAAACAGTTTATTATTCACATGTATAAAATTGTTCTTAAAATGTTGTTTTGTTGTTGAACTTGTTTGAAAATTAAAAAAGTTTCTGTCACATAATAGCCATTATTTGAGTAATAACTGACATGAGGTGAACAGATGACACAATCTTAATTTATAGAGAAACATTTACTTTGGGGCAACTGATTTTTTTCTTTGAATTTTAGGCAGTAAAAGATTTTAGTTTTGATAGAAACAAACCTGTGTGGCAGGTTATACATGACATCTGGTTTCCCAGATGAACAGCAAGAGGTCTGATAATATGCGTGTTCCACTTTTCCCTGCATTCGTCAAGGTCCCTCTGTAGCACACCCATGACCAGGGCCGGCCCTTGGCACTGGCGAACTAGGCGGTCACCAGTGGAGATATACCCGGAAATGCCAAGCAAATGCTACCCCGACGGTCGGTTGTTATTGTCAATATTAATATAATAATGATTTATTTTTTAATAGTCACACTCGATTACGCAGATTTTCTTGTTGCCCCAGCTGGTCGACACCTATTTTAGCAGAAACACCTATGGATTCAGAATTTCAATAGCTTACTGTTAAATGACGGATATACCTTTCTGTCTGTGATGTTTTACAAATCAGATATTAGAAGTAAAACATGTGAAATAATATATGAATATCCTGTACAATTATGTGAATTGGATCAAATATAAAAGTCAGCCGAATTAGTGTTGATACTGCAAGGAGACGTATTGTGTGAAAAGAAATGTAAGATGTTGTGACATGTAACATGAATACAACTACACACCTTCAGATGTTATACATACACACGTGTCCTAAATTAATAATACTAAGTTATTATGGCTAAAAACAACTAACTTGTTATGGCTAAAAACAACTAATTCAATAACGTGCTTTAACCAGTAGGCGGTACACACAAGGTAGTGTGCACCGCCTAGTGGTTAAAGCACGTTATTGAATTAGTTGTGTATGATATGTCAATAAACCTTAGAAAATCTTTAAATGAATATGCAAAATATCCATTATATACAGTCTTTAATTAACTATTAGTAGAGAATAACGAGTAATGAATATACTTTATAGGGATCTGCAGATACATGTTTAGTCTTCTCAAGCACCAACTATCAAATATCTCGCCTGATTGTTGGCATTTGACAATCACCTTCCCTGAATTTTACTCCCTGATTTAAGGGTCATTAATCATAATCTGCAAAGTAATTAAAATAAATGTAGTGGAGTAAAAATACCAGGTTAACCTCTGAATTGTAGTGGAGTAGAATTGCTGTTTTGTTTAGTAATGGATATTGAATATGGAATAAAGGTTTTGACAAGACCTGGTGTAACAATAATCAAAGAGGACATTAAAAGAGCTCCATATGTTAATTACTAAACAAAACAGCACACCTGTAATGTATATTTAAATACTTTATTAAGGGCAGTGAATTAATTTGTTCTGTATGTTTTTCAAATCAGTGTTATAAGTGTCATAGACAGTGTTACAATGCTATTATTATCCTTAAAATATATGTAAAACAAAACCACTTATGATCTTTTTATTTGAGTGGTTTACTAATTCATTTTTGTGAAAAATAATAAAATTCAATAACGTGCTTTAACCACTAGGTGTCCCTTTCTATCAGCTATGCACCGTTATGGTGTAAATACAGCCTATCTACCAATTGGATCAAATATAAAAGTCAGCCGAATTAGTGTTGATACTGCAAGGAGACTATTGTGTGAAAAGAAATGTAAGATGTTGTTTAATTGCTGATATATTTATGATCCACGTCACGTTTTCAGTTTTGGCGGCAGTTCTTCCTGTTTGTCTAGAAGTCTTCTCATCAGGGCTCTATGAATAGAGAACTACGGCAGATATGTAATATTTAATGCAGCCAAACCGTGTATTACAATGCCGGTATGTGATGACTTTCAAAGAGAAAAGCAAGCACACTCGGAATAAAGTATTATGTTATTTTTTTTTTAAAGTTTTCAGATTTCACATCGCATAAACACCATTTCTCAACGTGCATTGTGGCTAAACCATCGAATCGCCGAGCTGAGGATCTTGCCTACGTCTGTTTCCGGTATTGTTAATGACGGATGCATTTTGTTATACACACATTCCTTCACATTTAAATTTTAATTTACATTAAAGTATTTCGTGAGGCCTTCTAAAATATTTTTAAACATAACTACAGTTCTAGTTGAAGAGTTTGTAAATTAACATGAACCGAAGCCTTTGCCTGGCAACGCAATCGCACAACGTCACGTCCGTTAATTCCACATCCACACACATGGATTAACATCGATTTAATACATTAATGTAGCCTTTTTTTCTGCTAAAAGAGGTGTCGACCAGCTGGGGCAACAAGAAAATCGGCGTAATCGAGTGTGACTATTACAAAATAAATCATTATTATATTAATATTAATAACAACCGACCGTCGGGGTAGCATTTGCTTGGCATTTCCGGGTATATCTCCACTGGTTGGGCCATGTTAACAATACAGTGCAACTGTCACGTTTGAAGGGACGAAATCGTGACATCTTCACGTCTCCCAGCATGGTAAAACGTCACATGTTCACGTCTTGCCGTGATACCGGGTTGGATATTATATGCCCCCTCAGGTAAGCTTTAAAAGCATCCCACACGGTAAGGGTGGACATTCCAGGGGTTAAGTTAGTAGAGACAAAAAATGCTATCTTTCTCCATGAAATGTACAAAATGTTCATCGGAAAGTAAGGTTGAGGAGCTTGACGCTCGTCAACTATCAGCAGGAGGGCGGGGGAGCCTCAGCGCAACTTACATGATGCCGAATTTAACAAACATATTTAAATAATTGGTTTAAACGGCATAATAATATGGACGATCGTCCGTTCTGTGATTCTCCAGATTCCAGAGCACACATGTTATGATATTAGGGTCATGCAGAGTGAGATGAGATCGCTGTCCCTTTAAGAGAGAGAGAGAGGGGTGTGGATGGTAGAGCGACAGTGAGGGAACGTGTGTATGTTTCTGGAAGTGAAACGAGTGATGTATTTTGTGAAACAGAAGAACAGCTAAATAAATGCAACGGCCTCCCAAGAAGAGCTCGCCTCTCCAGTCATTTAAGCTAAAGCCGACAGGAAAGTTCAACACACAGATGGCCAGTCCGCCCCTTTGTGGCATATTATTTCAATGAGAGATGAGCAGATCGCCACTGGGCTTTCAACTAAATACACAGCCACGCAAAAACTGCGGCATTTGTACAGCTCCTTATGGGTACTGCAATTAGTGAAGTGCTTTCCTCCGTGGTGAAACGATCAGCACTGCACCACAGAGGAAAGCGGCAGAAAGTCACCTGGAGATAAACAGAGCGGGGCTGCGCTGCGTGCATGGCTTCCTTCTGCAGGTAACGGGGAGACGCGCTCTGGCGGCGGTCTCGTTCAGGATCCGAAAATACAATTTAAATATTTTGCACACTTATTCCACTTATTCCTAGTGTGCCACTGGTTACGGTGCCAGGGGTTGCCGACCCCTGCCATAATAGAATGAAAGAATGCATCCCAGCATGAAAAAGGAACAAATGTACTTAAACACGGCTCCGGGTAAACATGCAGGTTAAGCAAGTAAACAAACCGCTGGCATTAATCCACATTTATTTGAAAGTTCAAGAGAGACAACACTGACGGCAGAGATGGCTTCCACTCATCTCCCGGGCACAGGCACAAGGTCACTTTTGCGGTTCCGATGACTTCTGGAGGGTGGCGATGTACTTCTTTGCTTCCTCCACAGAGCCGATCCACTTTTTGCCTCCACCGGACAGTGTGAGGCGAAGCTGAGCGGGGAAGAGCAAAGCGGGCTTAAGTCCCAGTTTGTAGAGTTCTTCCATGGTATCCTTGTATTCCACCCGCTGGCTCATGACCTCAGGGTCCTTCAGGACCTGAATTTGCCGGGCGCAGTACGCGACACAACTGTTTTCAAAGTCTTCAACAGTACAGATGTACAACGCAATTCGTCGGTAGGCCTTTCCACTGGCATTTTTGTACATCTCCACTGTGAAAGGGATGTCCGTTCCGGGTATATTTGTAATCTCCCTCGCATCAGGGTATAACAAAACATGGGCACCATCTTCCACGACCTGTTTAAAAGCTTTCTGCTTTTTTATGGCAGCAGTCAACAGTTCTTGACATGACCATTGAGGTTCGACATCAAGGGGAAGTGACCTCCCTCTCACAGGTATAAGGAAGCCATCCATCATCCTCATTACTCCAACAGAAATCTGCAAAAAGACAATAACATGCAAATGAATAAAACATTTTAAAAATGAATACGCTAAAGTCTACGGACATTATATGAGAGTGTGGTGACCAGATGTGAATTACAGCTGTATTCATAATAGAAAACGTTGCATACCTTCACTATTTTCTGTTTCTTTTTTATTTCCCTATATAAGGACACTACAGCTGAGCTTCCTGCTACAAAAAAACACAGGAATAAAACATGAATTACTCATCATTATGTTCAATAGGAGTCTCATCCTCAATCCCTTCTGTGGAACATCTTAGAACACATTCAACAGTAGGTAAGCCACATCGTTTAGAGATGTATTTGTATAATAATAGAATTCAAACTTTTAAACCAAGTTTTCTATAAATACTTATTTTTCGGTAATAAAACCTATTTACCTGCACTGGTGCTAGGCTGTGCACTTAGATGTGCACTAGTGGTGGGCATCTCCTCTGGGACTTTGTTAGCCACATCCTTTAGAAACGTGATGTCTCTGCCACAGACACCACAAACACCATGGGGAGCTGTCACGCTGGACCCACAGAATGGACAGTGCATCTGTGGAGGAATAAATTGTAGGACAGCTAGGTTAAGTCAAAAAGAGTGGATATTTTTCGGCTACCTAAATATTATAATAGTATTAAAGAAAGGTCTTTTAATTAACTCATCAGAAGCCAACCTCCATTTATTTGTTTCGACTGACTCCATCCTTACCTCCATGAGAAAGACATAATTCCTTTTGGCAGAGGACAGAATCTCCTTCACCTCCCTCTCACACAGCACGTTCTTCTTGGCATTTGTGAAGAGCAGCAGACGGTAGGGGTGGTAAACTCCAATGTACACAACATCTGCATTCACAAAAAGACACAAACCAGAGATCATGCTGTCATGTTTTTCAATGTCAAAATATATATTACAGTATATATATAACCACAGGAAATCATGACAGTTGTGGTTCAAACTGAATACAAGAGTAGTAAAAGTGCCATCAAACAATCTGATGTGACCCAGGTCTGAAAGAAACTAACCTATGTCTGGATCTCTGGCCAGCTCCTCATAGCTGCCGTAAACTCGGGAGATGCTGTGCTTTGTGGCAAACTGCTGTGCATCCTCTAATTTACGAGCTGCCACAGCCACAACCTGTAAATCCAGTTTATAATATTATTCACCACAACAAGGTAATCCTGTTCCACCTTAATGAAAAGCCCCCAGAAATAAAATGTGCTTGCAGAAAAATAATAACACTGACTACTGGAAATGTGAACTTATAATTTCCATATTCAATTTTCTGTGTAAACTCAATAACTTCATGTTTCTCTTGCTAAAACTGTGCATTTATCAGTGTTGGGAGGCAGCTATACTTTACAATAGTAACCCATGTATAGTCAATTTAAAGATTCAATAAATATAGTCTTTCTAGCAAAATGTTGTTTTTAAGTGGTACGCAGCTATTTAATATTTTTAATGTTTTCGTTGTTGGGTACCGTAATTACTCGGTTATAGTCAAAATAAAATGTAGGTGACCATTTAGTGTGTACTTTACGGTAAAAAAACAAAGCGTGCCAAAGTGTTAAAAAATGCTGCAGACTGTCGTTTGGAATGTCTATAAACCCTTTAAAGCTGCATGTTGCACATCATCAACACTGGATTAGGACTTTACTTTAACCATGGACTGTAAGAAATGTGTGTGAACTGTCCGCGGACACACACACTGCAAGGAGCGAAAAGCCTCGCTGGGATAGACTGTAGTCGAGACGTGTTGCAAACTAAATATTTAAATGTGTGTGCGCTTCTGCTGGTACCTGGTGGTCTTCATGAGGAGGGGTCTTCAGAGCCACAGTGAAGTCATGACTGATCCTCCCAGTGCTGCAGATTCCCCACCTGGTTGCCATGTTGGACGAGTTGCATGTTCCTGCAGTTCTTATAGTGGCGAAGTCACGCCCATCTACTTCCGGTCCATGTGACCTTACCACAGTGACGCGTCCTAAAACCCGGAAGTAAACTTATTTATTTAACTAGAAGTCATGGCTGTCAATGACCAGTCTGATATCGTTTTACAAAGATGACAAGAAGTGTAGATAGAGGAGAGAACCACTACAAGTCAGGACACATACAACAGTGCAGCCTAGATGAAGGTGTGCTTACCGTTGTTGTCAGGGCTAGCATGAGGGACAAGGTTTATAGTGTCGGTGAGTAGTGATAGCAAGAGTACCGTTAACCTAGAGTTAACTTATTCACATTAGTGACATTAATTCCCATCAACAAATCCATTTTATGTGTCACATGAAATCTTTATTACAAATATTACACACCAGAAAACACCGAAATATCCATGAAATAAACATACAGTATAGGCTATAAACAATTAAAGGGATTGGAAAATTGGAAAACACTGGTAATTAATTGTTCTATAATTTGTAAAACTACGGTGTTAAAAATGACAATTTCAAAAATACAGATTCTAATGGTCAGATATAGATATACAGATACTAAAGATAGGCAGGTACTTGCTTTCAAGCAGAACACAGGGGAAAACAAATTTAGCGAGAGTGTTTACGTGTTCGGCGAAATGACGTACAACGGCCTCGACAATTTCTGTAGTCCTATTCAGCCACTCGGTAACAACCATCGTTTTTCAGACACGTAAACTCTTCAAAAATCACCAGTGGGGTCACTGCTGATGTATTTAATGTCGTAGAACAAAACGTGATTTATCTCTTAAATTTGTGTCAACCACAGACCTTATTTCGAGCTATTTTCCAAAACCCTATGGAGAAAATGCATTGCTTTTTGACGAAGGAACCGGAAGTGCTAAAAATGCTAACTTACTTCTGGGTTTTAGGACTCGTCACTGCGGTTCTCTATAGAGAGCTTTTGATCCCGTTTGAATTGTGCCATGAATTACACATATGATGTTTGTCAATCTTAAAAAATAATTTCCATGTCAAAAAAGTCAGTTTGTCGTAAAACTGTTGAAATATAAGACTATGAAAAATACGCAACTAGAAAGACTACAAATCCTAGAGTCACGTAAGTGATGTCACAATTGTTTTCCTCCACTAAGAGATAGCTCAAATCAGCGCCATATAGATATAATCTATCTATGGCGCTGGCTAAGATAAGATAACTTTAACAAAATGCCTGTGTGCTTAGTACCAGGTTGTTATCATACCAGCAATGGGTCTTGCTCGTTCTTTCGCTTTTCCCGTCTGATGAAAGGTCCTTTCATCAGACGGGAAGCGAAAGAACGAGCAAGACCCAAACTAGCTACCTAGCTAGTAGCTTGCACGTTAGTAAGCATTACAGCCTTGTCATTTTTATTAGCATTAATATGAAGTAACATCAAGTAACCCAACATGTTTAACAGTAAGAGTAGTAGTCATATTTCGTGAACCCTTTGAAGAGTACTGTCACCGGTGTGATCATTCTATAATACACAATTTAAGCCCAGGGGAGTAACGCTAACGCTAGCATCGGCGATCGCCGATCTTTTCTACGTCCTGCTATCTGCACAAATGGTTGACATTAAACATTAAAAAGACCAGGCAGTTCAGAGAGAATCAAAGGAAGGCAGATTTGCATGACATTCTTCTGGACGTGTTTCATTGTGGTGATAGTGAGGGTAGCCAATCGTTTTGTTGACAAGACAGTAGTGACGGCCATCTTGGTGACGTGTGTTGTTCTGCGAGACCGGGGTTGCGTTCCGATAATCCAAAAATCAGCTCCTAAATTCTAACCCTATCTCCTATTCCTTGACCTCTGAGTGAAACGTCACGGGGTTAAGGGATAGTGGATAAGAGAATTCAAAAGGACTTAGGAGAAGAGACTGCGGTACTTTAGAGAATCCGAATGCACTTTCACTATCCGACGTGTTTATGATGCGCCAGCGGACGTCATGAATGTGCGTCTGCTGCTGCTGTGGGGAAACTATGGAAACTACAGTTTTCTATACAGCGGACTACAACATGGATGTATAATAAGAACGAGGGACTACTGTAAACTCATCTAGAGACTCTGCACCGTGCTCTGATGCTGTTGCTTTATGCTTTATGAACGTGGACAAGAGAGAAACATATTCTTCATGACCAAAGTTGGAATTGAAATAAAAAAGGAAAGTGAAACTTATGCTCGTCACCCTCTCCCTCCGGTCCACATTAATACAAATGATCCCAATACGTATGATTGATGAAAAGATCTTAAAATCAATACAAATGTATTTATTATAAACGTTAGTCCTTAACATCTATCACTGTGTATATCACCATTCAAACATCTTTTAAAAGTTGAACAAACCCCACACAGCTCAGTAAAGACTGTGAAATGTTGACTTTATTTGATCATTTCAGTAAAAACTAACGTTCATATTTCTCTTTTTGATTATAATACTGATGAACGTTCAGAAAAAAGTACTTTGGCAACTTACCACATACGTTTTAAAATGCTTAATAAGCACCGTAACTTTCATGATATGATTTCTCGGTCATAATCGGTTGTTTCCGTGAACGGCCGACTGTTGAGTGACGGCAAATGCTGCGGCTGCAATGCATTGTGGGGCAGCATTTTCTCCTCTCCTTTCGGTAAGGGAGGTCCAGTGGTTCCTAAGCTAAAGGAGGTTATAAAGGAAGTTTGAAACCTCCTTTCCATCATTTGGAGAATTGGAACGGCACTTATCATGGCTGCCACTGAGGGACTTCCGGGTCATTTCACTTGGTTAGGAAGGTTCCTAAGCTAAATGGACTATTGGAACGCAACCCGGGGTTGCGGTCGGATAATCAAAAAATCAGCTCCTAACGTCTAACCCTATCGTCTATTCCTTGACCTCTGAGTGAAACGTCACAGGGTTAAGGAATAGTGGATAGGATAATTCAAAAGGATTTAGGAGAAGAGACTGTGGTACTTTAGAGAATCCTAATGCACTTTCACTATCAGACGTGTTTATGATGTGCCAGCGGATGTCATAAATGTGCGTCTGCTGCTGCTGTGGGGAAACTATGGAAACTACAGTTGTCTATACAGCGGACTACAACATGGATGTTCAATAAGAACGAGGGACTACTGTAAACTCATCTAGAGACTCTGCACCATGCTCTGATGCTGTTGCTTTATGAACGTGGACAACAGAGAAACATATTCTTTATGACCAAAGTTGGAATTTAAATAAAAAAGGAAAGTGAAACTTATGCTCGTCACCCTCTCCCTCCGGTCCACATTAATACAAATGATCCCAATACGTTTGATTGCATGAACTATGAAAATATCTTAAAATCAATACAGATGTATTTATTTTAAACGTAAGTCCTTAACATCTATCACCATTCAAACATCTTTTAAAAGTTGAACAAACCCCACAGCTCAGTGAAGACTGAAATGTTGACTTTATTTGATAATTTCAGTCAAAACTAACGTTCATATTTCTCTTTGATTATAATACTGATGAACGTTCAAAACAAAGCACTTTGGCAACTTACCACATACGTTTTAAAATGCTTAATAAGCACCGTAACTTTCATGATATAATTTCTCGGTCATAATCGGTTGTTTCCGTGAACGGCCGACTGTTGTGTGACGGCAAATGCTGCAGCCTCAAAGCATTGTGGGGCAGCATTTTCTCCTCTCCTTTCATCAAGGGAGGTCCAGTGGTTCCTAAGCTAAAGGAGGTTATAAAGGAAGTTTGAAACCTCCTTTCCTATCATCTAGAGCAGAGGTGGCCAGCTCATTCCATTGCGGAGATATTCCCGCGAGAGTGCGGAAAACTTAAATAAATGTATTTCTTTCAAATGTGAAATTTTACCAATATACTCACGGACCACTAGCAGGCGCTCACGGACCACCAGTGGTCCGCGGACCACACTTTGAGAAGCACTGTAAGTAAATACATTTGTTCCTGCTCAAGATTAGATTCAACTTTATTGTTATTGTACATATTACAGGTACTGAGACAACGAAATGCAGTTTAGCTTCTAGACAGAATAAAATATAGAATGAATTGAATGATGAATAAAAAGTGAGGGGTATGAATACACTAGATATCAGGAGTATGAACAGTGTGTATGAATATGCTAAGATATATAAAGTATGAAAACGGTAAGCAGTGCAAGTATAGTATAAAATACATGGATATTAATTTAATGATGATAAACATTATGGAACAATGATAAAAAATGGGAATGGAAGTGGCGACGTAAAACTGACACAAAACAACAGCAAACTTTTGCCGAGCCAATTGGAGAGTTTCATGAGCAGCACGGGGTAAAAACCACCAATGAGCGCTCAGCTCGAGATACCAGCGAGTCGTTTCCCATCAAGCATTTCGCTTCCGCAGCCCGTGTAGAGCAACTGCGCCGCCTCGCCGGGCCTCGCTCTCAAGGCTGCGGGCGTCTTTGTCCCGCGAAATTTCAAAGTCTCATGTGGGCGGGCCTCCAGAGCAAGTCGGACAAAATGACTAACCATCATGCAACGCACTAGCAAGACGTTGATCGCAACTGCGCAGGTCTTGCTTGTCTCAAACAAATACAAATGTATTTATTATAAACGTTAGTCCTTAACATCTATCACTGTGTATATCACCATTCAAACATCTTTTAAAAGTTGAACAACCCCACAAAGCTCAGTGAAATGTTGACTTTATTTGATCATTTCAGTAAAAACTAACGTTCATATTTCTCTTTTTGATTATAATACTGATGAACGTTCAAAACAAAGCACTTTGGCAACTTACCACATACGTTTTAAAATGCTTAATAAGCACCATAACTTTCATGATATCATTTCTCCCATTATCGTTTGTGTCTGAACGGCCGACTGTTGACTGACGGCAAATGCTGCGGCTGCGATGCATTGTGGGGCAGCATTTTCTCCTCTCCTTTCGGCTAGGGAGGTCCAGTGGTTCCTAAGCTAAAGGAGGTTATAAAGGAAGTTTGAAACCTCCTTTCCTTTCACTTGGAGAAT